TCTTTGATATTTTATATCCACACTTGTCTGTCAGTCAAGTCCTTCACTCAGAATGTAAACTTCTTTGGGCATAGACCTCAGAACATGTGTTTTTTCTGCAAGGCATTAGTACCCTTGTGGAATAATAAAACAACAGCTTAATTGGTTTTGATTTGGGAAATCCAAAAAGTAAACCAACAACATAATGAAAAGTTAGATGAATTTGTCAAGTCCTCTCTCTTAATATCCTAATATGTTATTAGTAACAAACAATTGTTGTTTTTAGCATATGATTCTTAAGTTAGCAGAGCCCCTTTAATCAGTATACAATTTCTGAATAACCTGGACATTTCTGCATATTTTGTCACTGTTATCCTGCACGACGGATCAAAGCACATTTTTACTTTTAAAACCTGGTTTCAGAAAGATTGGTGAGAGCAAAGCAATGTTGAAATATTGAAATCAAGTCCTGATTACAACTAGTGCCTCGCAGAAGGACAAAACTAGAAGGAGGGTATAAACACAGAAGCAGTGATAACTATGGTAGCTAGTTATAAGGTGGTGTTAAAATTGGAACAGCAGTTTAAGTACATATACAGGTGCTACACTAAGGCCTGATCTACACATAAAACTTATAGCAGCACAATACATCAATCAGGGGTGTAAAAAACCATATCCATTAGTGACATAGCTACGCCAACAAAAAAAAAATGCAGACACAGGTATGCCGACAGAAGAAGGCTTCTTTCGGCAAAGCAAATATCATTCAGGGAGATGGTATTCTTCTAACAGCAGAACTCCTCCTTCTATCAGTGTATCCTGTGTCTGCACTAGGGGGCTATGTTGGTACAGCATAAACTCTGTAGAGTAGATACAGTCTAAGAGACAGCTCTGTAGAGTAGATATAGTCTAAAAGACAGGTTCCCTTCCCCAGAGAGCTTTCAACCTAATAAACCACAAGGAAAACAAATTTGGACAAACAATTCAGAAGAGGAAGGTATGGCAAGATCAAAAGTAAGGAAAGCAACAAAGCAAAAATTCTGAGAAGCACATTTTATTGGAGGATTTTAAACAGAACTGAGTGGACAGCTGGTGAGGAGGAATTGGGATACTGTTCCATACATAGCAGGCAGCACAGCAAAATGTGCAAAGCAAAGAGTGGGAGGAACTGATGAAGGTAGCAGTAATGAGAGAGTGCTGGAGGAGTGACAGGGCCATAATTTAAAGCTTTTGTGTAGGGAGAACATGGGCTGCTCAATGACTAAAGAAAGAAAGGAGGGGAAATTTATTGAAGAGAGGAGGTAACAAGACAAGAAATGGCAGGCTAAGGAGAGAAAAACAGGAAGATGAGAAATGGAGTTCAAGACAAAAAAGTGGGCAAATGTGTCCCAATTCCTTCATCTTTCCTTTTCTCCAAAACTATCTTTTGCTGAAGAAGAATTCTGAACCTAATCAAATTATGAGTGTGTCCCATGTCCCTTTCCATAAATATTTGCCAAAAAAGATGGTGATATGTGCTCTTTCTGGCAAGCTGTGTGGAAAATGCTGCAATCCCAAGTGACTCAGTAGTGAGTGGTGGTACTGCCCATATGATAGGCCAATATATATCACAACAGCCAAGAGAATAAGCCATCAAGTGCATTACATTTAATCAAGGACATTGCTACCAATCTCACTTTTATATTTTCAAGTGTTCCAGTACAACCCTGAGCCCTTCATCAGGTCCATTCTACAATCTCCCATCACTGGCAAATTTAGGCAGAAGCAAACAGCAACCTGGTCTCACTTTACAAGCTCTCACTCATTCTCTTTAAACTGTCTTTACACCACCACCCCACCCCAAAAGACATTTAGCATTCTCTCACTTGAAATCATTGAGAAAATGTTGATCTTGCTCTGAAATGAAGAACAAGATATTTAGTCTCAACAAAAACAGCCCTAAAACTCTGCAAAACCATAGTTCCATACAGCGAGCCAAGATGTTAAAAAACAACAACATGTAAATGTACCATGCCCCCTTCATCAGTGGCTTCTCCCTGCTCCCCCCTTACCTATCATCCAACTGATCCCCTATATAGGCCACTACTCCATTACCCCTCCAGTTCTCCCAAAGTCTCCCACCTCTGGACTCTTCCTATTTGGTGACTACAGGCCCTTCATTTTCCTTCCCACAGCGGCTCCCATTCCAGCTTCTTCAGCTGCTGCCCCCTTTCCCTTTTTCATCCCCTTTCTGGAGGCTGTTGCCCACTTTCTCCTTTCCCAGCTACTGAGTACCCAGTGGCATGAATTAGAGATAATGTAATAAAATTAAGGCAATAAAAACTGAGGCTAAATATCAAAGAAAGTTTTTGGACAGCAGGATGGATTAGACAATGGAGTCAGCTCCACAGGGAAGTGATGAAGAGACATGCAACATTTAAAATCAGTTTGCCACTGGCTTTTCTGGTCAGAGGCGCCCTAGAATGCATTGTGCATTTCTGGACTAGGAAGTCCCAAAATGTACTATGTTCAAAGAGTGGTCAATGCCCATCCTACACATCAGATTTAAGAAACAATTATGGTATGAGCATCAGGAAAGGGAGTAGAATGGGATGCGAGAATGTCACAGCATGACAGGAAGTAAGGGACCTCTTGGGGTTGAAAGAAATGAAGTTGGGACTGCAGCTAAGCCTATTGAAGCTCATGGAAAGAAATTCCACAGCAATGTGAACCTTGGAAAAGTTTGAGTGAGTTCAGTCAACATGGGAACAACTCAACTAGTCAATCACTGACCTTAAACTTAACGGAGTCACAATGCATGACCAACTTTGCTGAGAAAATAACAAACACTGCACAGTGCTACTGGAGATTTGCACTGCCACTAAATTGTTCAAAGGAAACCCTTCACATCTTGTTCCTTTATCTTATGCAAAGGTGAGGATTCTGTACCCGGAATACTATTTTCTGTTTTCGGGGTGCCAATAGCAAGTTAGGTGATATTAAACAAAACCAAAGGGCAATTTCCTCTCTTGCTTATTCAAATTATTTCCTTACCATCTGATATTGAGAGCCACCATTTGTTTTATTGGACTTGATTACAAAGAGTAATCATTTGTGTAACACTCTATACTAAAACCTGCCTGCATGTTGTATTTCCCATATACATTGTACATGAATTAGCCCATTCTGACTGACACAGGTACTAGACTCCACTTAACAACTTTTATGCATTTTAACTATACCTAGTGTAGTAGGAAGAGAGCCTGAGACATAAGCCCTTTCGTACATGTTTTGATCAAACCAACATGTACAAAATAATGGGTGATAACTAGCGACGTCAGGGGGCAGTAACTAACTATGTCATGGGGCAGTACTAACTAGTTTGTATCAGGGTATAAATACATATCTCAGAGGGAGTATCTTTGTCTGGGCTAGGAAGGAATGGAAAGTCCCGCCGTTCACTGAGTTGGTCCATTGTTATGGGCGTAGATGTATTAGCCATCCGGTATAGTCTGCTGGATACTAGTACCGTGCTTCGTTGACAATAAACCTGGCTAGGTGCTTTTGTCCCTTAACGTATTTTGTGGTCACTGGGCTGTTCGCTCAAGATCTGTCATGCCAGCTGTCTGTGCAGAGATGGGGCGGCATGCAAAGGAAACACACACACGCAACCAAACATCTATCTACATCTAACCACACCTGGTCCAAAAATGATTTTCCCCCCATAAAAAATTTAGATTTTTTTTTTTTGGTAGAAAAAATATCTGAATTTTTGGTTTTCAGCAACTGAAAAGTGCCAAAAATTCAGTTTTTGATTCTGACCAAAAAAATAAACCGAATTCATGAAAAAACATAAGAATGGCCATACTGGATCAGACCAACGGTCCATCTAGCCAAGAATCCTGTCTTTCAACAGGGGCTAGTGCTAGATGCTTTAGAGAGACTGAACAGAACAGAGCAATTATCGCGTGATCTATCCATTACAGTCCAGTTCCAGCTTTGCAGCAGAGATTTAGGAACACCAGAGCATGGGGTTGTGTCCCTGACAATCTTGGCTAATAGCTATTGATGAACCTATCCTCCATGAACTTATCTAATTCTTTTTTGAACCCAGTTATACTTTTGGCCTCCACAACACCCTATGACAATGAGTTCCACAGGTTGACCATGCATTTTGAAGGAAAATTTTCACTCTCTCTTCATTTTAACCCTTCCAGGCTATTTGCCATCTTCGGTGATGAATGTGGAAGGAGGAAATAGATTTTGCTAGACCCCCTTCATTGTCTTCACAACACCAGTTAGCTGGGCAGTCCCTCCCCCCCAGTATACAGAAACATTGATGGAAGCACCAATGCACTAGTGACTCCTACATATGGCATTTGAAGTGGAGAGGACGGAATGGAGTCTCAGATTTCAACTTCCAGAGGATGAGGGCAGGGCTGGCCAGCTAGAGAACTCTCTCTAGGCATTTCGCCCACTCAGGTGCAAAATAGCACTCCATGGGCTGGTAGTGCTCTTGGCCAAGCTGCATAGGTTCTGCTATGTATGTGTCTACAGAGCAGCAGGGTCAAGACTTGGTCCTCAGGATTTGGCAAGGTAGATGAATGATTTCTCTATGCAGAGCATCTACTGTTAAGTCACACACAAAAGAAGTGCATATAGGACAGCATGGATTTTGTTTAACTCTTTCATTAAATTAGAAACAAAATCTTTCATTGTAAGAAAACTGTTTCAAGTGTCTTCTGGTAGAACTAGCAGATTCACTGGCAAAAAAATATTTGCCTTGTCAGATTCTTGATCAATCCTACCAACAAAATACTGTTATAATAATATGAACCAAACATTACAGTGATCAAGTCACTGACTTGTTTATAGAAAAAAAAACCCAAAATACAGAGTCAGTGAATCATCATCTTAGATTTACCAATCCCTGCTCCCCCACAAAAAAAAAAAATATCTAAGGAGAAACATTCATTCTTTCAAGCACGTCTCAAAGAAACGTAACAGTGAGCATTATTATGAAGGTTGTACGGTGTACTTACAGGTCGAGCAGACCAAGAGTGTCCTGACCATAAATTCACAGAACAGCTTCCATTTTTGCTGCACTTTCGAGGTAATTGCTGGAATGATGATCTCTGCTGGAACGTAGTACTGAATTGAATAGGTCACAAAAATCCCAAAGGAATACAGAATTTTCACGGATTGATACAACCTGTTAAAAACATTTATACAAGAGTTGTGTCAGTTGCAAATATTTTGTAAAAAGCTAGTTTTCCGGAAGAAAAGGGGGATTGTTTCACATAATGAAATACTTGGGGAAGATTGCTATATATAAATAATTTTAAACATATGGTTTGATTGGATGTTTTATTCCTCTTTGCTCACCCTCCCTATGTTGCTTTTCTTCCTAGGCTCAGATCCTCTAGGAAGGGACTATGGTCCTAATCAGCAAAGCACATAAGTACATGAGTAACCCTATTGCCTTTAACAGGGACTAAGGCTATGTCTACACAAGAGAGTTTACAATGGCACAGCTGTACCGATGCAGCTGTGCTGCTGTAAGATCTCTCATGTAGCTTCTCTATGCTGATGGGAGAGAGCTCTCCCGTCAGCATAATTAAACCATTTCCAATGAGCGTCAGTAGCTCTGTTGGCGGGAGAAGCTGTGCACACTACCACTTATGCCGGTGAAACTTATGTCGCTCAGAGGTGTGTTTTTTCATAAGTAGTAGTATAGACAAACTCTAACTCATGTTCTCAAAGTTAAGCAATGCTTTAAGCCCCAATCCTGAAAACACGTATATACATTTGATTTTTCTCATACAAGTAGTCCCATTAGAGTCAAATACATCTTGCAATGCCAGACTTCAGTGGGGCAAAGATCTCACATGCCTGCACTCTGCATAGGGGTGAACATGTTTGTACAGTGTCAAACTGAAACAGTACCTCGACACGCTACTGCAATACAAACACTTAATAATAAAAATGGGATTTGAACACATGGTCTTAAATTTTTAAGAGTGAGTAGTAATTTTGGGTGCCTAACCTGACCTTAAAAGGGCCAGATTTTCAGAAAATGTTTACTCACCCTCTAAAAAAAATCAGCCCTTTTAAGGAGTCAAGTTGGACATCCAAAAATTGAGGCACAGTCACTGGTTACTTTTGAAAATTGAGGCTGTAGTTTTAGAATGACTTATTTCAGACATGATGCTTACATTATTAAGCCATTCCCTGTTGGTTATCTGAGCATTAAATGTGTTCTTATTGTTTAATGCTCTGCTTCATTGTGCTCTTTTTGAAGCACTGTGACACACAAAGTGAGCTTTATAAATCAATAATAATAAAGACGCTAATAATGATAAGAGTGAATAACAGGAAAAAAGCTGTGTGAAAAGACAAAGGGGGTTAGTAGGTCTCTTATTTACCATAGCAGGACATAGTGGGATACTCAAAGCACAACTAAAAGTACATCAGCATAAAGTCTTAGTGATATTCCCAGTAAGCAAACAAAAAAAGATATCTCTGTACTACAGTCACAGTTGCTATGAAATTTCACATTATGACTGCAATGCTAGGACACAGAGCCAAAGAACCAATAACCACTAATCAAATAATACACATAATGGAATCGAACTTTTACAAAAGAATGCTGTTAAAGAGGAACATGTTACAAGGCAGACAAATTGTCAGGGGAAAGAAGATTCAAACGTAAGCCTGGTCTACACCTTAAATTTAGGTCAACACAGCTACATCGCTCGGGATGTGAAAAATCCACATTCCGGAGCCAACTAGCTATGCCAACCTAACCCCCAGTATAGATGCAGCTAGGTCAACAGAAGAAGGCTTCCGTCCACCTAGCTTGAGGATATGGTGTTCCCACACCACTAGAAAAAAACGTTCCATCCACGTAGGCTGCGTCTGTGCCATGGGATTATCCTGTCATAGCTACAGCACTGTGACTGTGCCAGAATAGTCCCCATTGTGTAGATATAGCCACATTCTGCACATTGATAAACCTCTACGTAGGGCCAGGCAGCTCTGGGCATTTCAAAACCCAATGCAAACTGCCAGACACGGTCTTCCAAATTTCTCTGAACACACCTTGTAGTATTAAAATGCTATGCCATACTGGAAAAAAGGAAAATCATGGAGGAAGCAAGATTTAGTGTGGTCTTGGACACCATGTGAACTCCTGGAAAACTGTTTAGTCACCTTAGCATTGGAAGTTTGTGCCCTAGGGAAAACGACACATCGCCACAGACATCAGGCTAGATTCACTCCTATACCAAGGCACCACTTGGCACAGAATTGTGCTGCGGCATCAGCAAGTCACGTACACCTCCCTGATTCTCACTGCCAGACCCAGAACAACTTAGAACTGCAGCCCAGCAGCTCTACGTTGTGCCACTTTTGTGGGGTCTTTGATGAGCCCTATGCCAGTGGATGACTGGCCCAAAAAAGCAGACCTCCAACAACAGGAGATAAGAGATACAGGCACAGATGTGCCCAAAGAGAGTTCCTCTCTGATAAAGAATTCGCTGCTGAACAGCTGCATTATAGCCCCTTGTGCAACATTTAACCAGACTGAAAACCTGACCATCAGGACCTATGGGCAATGCCTAGTTAAAATACATCTCTGTTTTATTTGTAGGGGCTACTTTAGATTTTAGTGGCACACACAAAAAAAAGAGATATCCAGAAGTAATTTTCCACAATAACACCATTTATATCTTCTGTAGCAACTGGGTAATAATGATTTCTTCCACATTACTATTGTCCTACTTTACATTAGCTGGCCAAACAACGTTAGGCAGATGAAGAGAGACTAAACTGTTTTTCCACTGAACGCATCCGATGAAGTGAGCTGTAGCTTACGAAAGCTTATGCTCAAATAAATTGGTTAGTCTCTAAGGTGCCACTAGTACTCCTTTTCTTTTTGCAAATACAGACTAATACGGCTGCTACTCTGAAACCTGTTTTTAAAAGGGATGCTATCATCTATATATCTTGTTGAGTTAAAAGATAAATTTATTGTAGTCTTAAATTTTATGACAGAGTTCCCTAGCAAAGAAAGAGAGGAGTCTAACCAATTACAGCAATGGGTACCACTGTGAGAATCTAGCTATATTAAAGGTGAAACTTTCTACATAGAAGAAGCAGTCAATGTACAAAACAAACAAGCTAAAAAAAAAACCTAGAAAAAAATTTTTCTCTCTAATTTCTTTCAACTATAATATTATTAGGTGTTACTTATAACCAAAGTATAGGTAAAAAAAATGTTCAAAGAGAAGTGTAATTAAGTTGACTGTGTCCTTTGAAACAATGTGTGGTTCAATGGATCTTTTGTTCACAAAATATCCTCTACATCTCCAAATACACTAGTGACTTGGAATCTTTTGACTTTACAGCAGCTGCCCTTGCAGATTAACAAAAATATACCAACAATCCTCTCTTGTTTCATAGTAAAGGAAAATATAAGAACATAACAACAGCCATATTGGGTCAGACCAATGGGCCACCTAGCCCTGGTCTACACTAGGACTTTAGGTTGAATTTAGCAGCGTTAAATCGATGTAAACCTGCACCTGTCCAACCGATGAAGCCCTTTTTTTCGACTTAAAGGGCTCTTAAAATCCATTTCCTTACTCCTCCCCTGACAAGTGGATTAGCGCTTAAATCGGCCTTGCCGGGTCGAATTTGGGGTACTGTGGACACAATTCGACGGTACTGGCCTCTGGGAGCTATCCCAGAGTGCTCCATTGTGATCGCTCTGAACAGCACTCTCAACTCAGATGCACTGGCCAAGTAGACAGGAAAAGAACCACGAACTTTTGAATCTCATTTCCTCAAGAAAAAAGGCACAAAACGATTGTCTGCTGCCGCTTTCACGGAGGGAGGGAGGAAACGGCGGCCTGACAATATGTACCCAGAACCACCCGCGACAATGTTTTAGCCCCATCAGGCATTGGGATCTCAACCCAGAATTCCAGTGGGCAGTGGAGACTGTGGGAACTGTGGGATAGCTACCCACAGTGCAACACTCCGGAAGTCCACGCTAGCCTCAGTACTGTGGAAGCACTCTATCATATCCCTCTTCTCTTAGTTGCCTCTCTTCTAAGATGAACTGCCTATTTAACCTCTACTTGTATGGAAGCTGTTCTGTACCCCTAATAATTTTGTTGTCCTTCTCTGTACTTCTTCCGATTCGAATATATCTTTTTTGAGATGGGACAACCAGAACTGCACTGGACTTGTATATTGGCATTATGATATTCTCTTGTCTTATTATCTATCCCTTTCCTAATGGTTCCTAACATTCTGTTAGCTTTTTTTGACTGCCGCTGCACATTGAGTGGATGTTTTCAGACAACTATCCATGAGTCTAAGTTCTCTTTCTTGAGTAGTAACAGCTAATTTAGACCCCATCATTTTGTAGGTATAGTTGGGATTATTTTTTCCAGTGTGCATTACTTTGCATTTATTAACACTGAATTTAATCTGACATTTGTTGCCCAATCATCCAGTTTTGTGAGATCCCTGTTACCTCTGTTTCCCTAGAAACCAACCCAGGGTTACACTTACATTGTTTTTATTAAATGCCGCTGTTGGATCAAACAGAAAAGGGATGGGGCTTATTCATGCACACACACATTCATACCCTCATGCACTTACATACTGGTGGAGAGTTACTGGAGACAGCAGAGGAAGCCGAGAAGCCGAAGCATAGTAGATCTGGTGTGTCCGCCTGCAGTCATGGATCCGGGCAGGCGAGCAGGTCAAGAAGCAGGGGGCTTGTGTGCATGCCTTCTTCCTTTTATTGGAACTGAGCGGCTCCTGTCACATACACTGAGTTTCCCTTCTGTGTCCGTCACCGAGAAGCATTCCCAGGCTTCGCTCCTTTCATGCAAACCAGGTTCTTCTTTTCTTTACAGCACCCCATGATGGCCTTCTTAGGGCAGATTACATCAGACACACCTGGCTCCTGGCTCCAGGCTTTATTCTGCTTGCAGTTCCTCTCTGCCAAGTCCCACATACACTCCCTTGTTCACACTCCCTTATCTTCCACACACACTCCCTTGTTCACACTCTCTCTGATTGCGAGATGGGGTATTGCAAAGCTTGGAGGTTTATACAAGTGGTAACTGAAAAGGTTACAAAGCTTGCAAGAGTTAGAAAGCTTAAAAGGAACAATAACTAAAGTTACAAAGTTTG